AATCTTCTCCACGAAGGTGTGACGCGCTTCGCTTGCCACTGGCGCTGCAATTTCAGCAATACTGCTGATATTCGGTATGTAGCCTAGATTCACCAAACAGAGACCAAAAAAAAAAAAAAACAAAAACAACAAAAAAAAAAAAAAAAACAAAAACCACAAAAAAAAAAAAAAACGAAAAAGAGAATAGAAGAAGGCAAAAGGAATGGTATTAAATGTGGAATAGAAAATATATTTATTGCAGCCAATTTTAAGTGACACTTTTGCAATGTCAGTGGCTCTTGCCGCTCTTTCACTTTCCGTGCACACGCCTGCAGTGTGTTGCTGCCACTCCCACACTTTGACTTTGACTCACCCTTCGTGTGCGATGTGACGGCCGCACACGCCGTCGTACTGCTAATGGCTGCCATCTGATTGAGCGCCTTGCCATGCAGCTGCGACTGTGTGACGTTCGGCTTGAGGAAGGAAACGAATAGATGTTTGGCCAAGTCGACTGGTGTCTCGCAGTCGAGAAAGGCATCGAGGAAGCAGCGAAAGCCATCGTAGTCAATGTCCTGCAAAAGAAGCAAAAATAAAATAAAATAGCGTTATATATTGAAATGAAAACTTTGCGAAATTCAATTTAAAGTAATCAAGTTGCTTAAAAGCGTACCAAAACCGAATTGCATTATTTTCAATTCTCGTTTCCATTTTACTTTCTGTAAGTGGGTCTTACTCGCTTATTATAGTACATTGCGAAATTATATTTAGTGTAATTGCCCACTCGTGGGCGTTAGATTTGTAATAAAGGATTGAGTGTTTCTACCGCGAATTCTTTGAAGGTGATCAAATCTCGGTGAGCCAGCGCAAAAGATTATCAAGTGGAGATTGATGGTTCGGAAGGTTTTGCTATGTATTTGGCCCCATTGATAGATAATCATCTATCATGAGCTGCTCCCTACGGCCAAACTCTTAACTTGAACATATTTTGACAAGTTTGACCGTCTAAAGGAAGCAGTCGGCCAATAGTGGCTTGCTTTGGCTAATAGGAGAGACATTTTTTTCCATCAGGACAATGCCTGCCACATAAATCGATAGCGACTTATTCCGGGAGTTTAGTCTGGTTTTATTTGTGCATTGAACATATATTCCGGAACTGGCTACTGTCTACATCGAGTGATTTGCTGGTGAATGATTCGGCTCCATAGAAGTTGGGAAATCGTTTTTGCTGGGTTTTTGTCAAAAGAGATGAGGCTTTTTAGCAGAGTTATGACAATTATCTCAGCTAAGGACATTCTAACTATGCTAAGGAAAAATTATGGATTTATTTTTGCTAAACCTTATTAATTTGCTTCCGGTCTCTCTTTATACGTTTCACCTAAGTACTAAAATTACTTTTCTTATGTCTTAATGTTAACTTTATCGAATTGAACATATTTTTTACCTACAGAAAATTGATTTTGTATGAAAGAAAATATTTTAAGTTTGTTTCCTAACGACTAATTATCACCAGATGGCCAAGTTTCTGCTGGAAAACGATTTATTAACACAAAAGACTAGCAGAAGAACCTAATTGAGAGCAGCAGAAAAGGAAAAAGTTGGTAGATTCCGTGCTAATTCTTTTTCTTCCTAATAACTAGCAGTATACTAATTTTTAGTTGAGAAATAGAATATATTATTTACATATAAAAAATATCAATACTTCGGTTAGGCTATGTCAAGAGGTCGATCTTAAAAAGATTATTATTTGGACAGCCCGGAATGCCGGTCAGCTGAGGTACTTAAAACTAAGGATCCTCTTACAAATTGAGCCTATCACAAATTTGTTGACACGGCTAATGTCGGTTTCGGCTAATTCTTCCGATTCGGTTAAATCTGCCGATTCGTTGAAGATAAGACAATAGATGTGTTTCAGATGATTCCACCTCAACCCCTCTATACAACTTTTAAAACTAGGGTCCAATAACATTTTTAGTCTCACCGCATGATCTCCAAATAGTTTCGAGTATGATTGCGGAAGATGAACTTAGTAAATTTCAGTAGATCTCTTCGAAAGATGCCGTTAAAAGTAGAGAATAAAAAACTAAGTTTGTTAACATTCTGTACGACTTTGAAGTCAATACAAATATTCCGGGCTTCAGCCAACCGTATTCTTAAAATTTGCCTAAATATTAAAATATTTCCATTTGTATGTATGTATTACTATGAATACCAAATGCACCCCGAAATGACCAATGGGTGATTTCAACTCAATTAACATTTCAAAGCGCTGCTGTAGGTTGCAACCTCTCTCACGGTTCCATACACTCAAGCGTATGCAAATGTTGTCGAACAGTTTTGCCGTGTCAAAGGTTGCAATTATGTATATTTACCGCAATGCAGTTAAACAATTTGTGAATTTTGTGCGCAGCAATTGAGGTTTGAGTGCGTAATTTTGGCGCTTTTGTTACAACTAGATATGGAAACTATGAAATTTGATTACAATGACACAGGTGGCACTACAAGGAGCAGATATGCATTATGCCTTTAAAATTGGAAAATAAAACTGAGGAGATATATTTACTATTTTTAACACTTGCATTCTGCTTTAAGCGAAAATTTTTATTATAGAATAAGAAAGTGATATCACATATTTCACTTCAGAAGTAAATTATCTAGATTTACTCTAAATGAAATGTGTTCTCGAATGAATATCAATATCAATAGTCATGCTATGAGAAAGGTTTGTTTTAATAAAAAAGCTCTTTAGAGCTCTTTTATTAGTGAAGCGAGAACACAAGTATATTGTCATATATGGGGTTCTTTGTTTGTTTGGTTCTCTGCAATTCTCAGATGGTTTATAACAAAAAAAGCTATAAGATTGCCAGAGTATTTTAATATCAAATTAATTATAATTTGTGCAACTGTAACCTAAAAACGTGAAAACAGATTACAGCTCACATTATTCTTAAGAAGTGTTGCCACCTGTTTAAAATTTAAATTAAAAATTTACTCGATTAACGTTTCATTGAAACATGGTTATAGGAAAAAATTACTTTTAGCAAAAAGCTTATGAGGGTTGCCACCTGTTTAAAATTTAAATTCAAAAACTTACTAGATTAAGTTAATAAATTTCATAAAATAAATTAAAGCCTTGGAGTAAAATTGGTGCGAGGAATTTGGTGAAATAATCCGGAGGACTGGTGGGAGTATAGCTATGAGACGATCCATAAGGCAACTTTTTCTTTTTTTGTTGGCGTAGACACCGCTTATGCGGTTATAGCCGCTGTTGTGATAAAGCAACTAATTTCCAAATACGAAAAATATAAGAAGTTTTTGCAAAAAAATTAAGGTTTCAGTCAAGATGATGAGGCTGACAGGATCGAAGATAAAAGATTGAGTGACGAGATAGGCCGAAATGGCCTATCAGTATTTATTCTCACGTCCATATCAAAATGAAATATTACTTTTTAAAATATAAAAAACTGAATTTAAGGATTGTTTTTGGTATGAAATCAGTTTGAGAGCAGAGTATTGTATTTAATACAAGAGCAAACGAAATGATAAAGGTGTGAAAAAACCAGCATTCTCACGAGACAAGAGTTACATTGGCTTACAACACGAAATTGGCGAGCAGCAGTTTCAATTATTACATTATCATATCAGGTAGCACGTAAATACCTTGTAAGCTTATATGCCAACAGACACACATACACACATATGTACTTGCATATGTATATTTTAACTCTAGTACATAAGAAACCATCAACGCTGTGGTTGCGAAGTAACAAGCGAAATTATGCGAATGCCAGTAAAATAGAGAGAATACCACCGCGGTTAACTATAAGCTTACAACTACGTCAACAACAATAATTACACTTATACATGTTTAATTTCCATAAAGTCATTAATTAGAATATAAGCGAATGAAGCGGAAAATTCATTTTACCACTTACCACTTTGCAACTTACTGCATATATCACTTACCACCTGCCACAACGGTACACATACATTGGAATCAGAGGTGGCATGTATTATTGAGAAGGTATGTACATATAAATGTGCAAGTAAATGGTTGGAAACGTGCTATTATCATATGAGTATGTACAGGAAAGTGAGACTTAATTGCCGATTTTTGTTTGCATACTGGCTCGTTGCCACGTCCGAGTTTGCTGCTGCGGATGACCACAAAGATGATGACTAACAGTAAAATTTACTCACAAGATTCTTACTATCGTAAGCAGTACCTAATTACCACTGTTTTTATATTATGTGGTAAATCCCTAAATAAAGTAATATATGAACTTATGTAGATGTGAACTCAAGCTTAGCAAGTATCATACAACTAGCCTTTCTTTAATTCGAAAATAAAACGAAGTCCTGAAAATTTTTACTCAAACATCAGAAATCATAACTTCAGTTTCAGGTTTGGTTATGTTCGAAAAACTAGCTCCGAAATAGTCTTCCAAGCGATTTAACCGAATTGAACTTAACGCAAGTGATTTCGGATCATATGTGAATTGATTGAAAACTGTATCACAATTATTCGAGTCAATTAGTCGAAATATTCGGTTAGAGGAGTCTTAAATTAAAGAAAATGTAACAATTTTACCTTTTTCGAAGATCGATTTTGGGCCCCTACCGCAGTTGTCTTGACAGAAATATATAAAATATCTCCACATCCTAATAACATTTTCAATAAGTTCAATTTCGAAATTCGAAGAAAAATATTTCGAATTTGTTGGCCAACTCCGAAAAGCGAAAAAAATACTTTTAATCTTAGTTGGAAAATTTCGATTAGAGGGGTCTTTAATTAATTAAAAATAAAATTTTTCTGTTTTTCGAAGATTGAGAAAATATTAAAAAACATCCCTATAATTAGAAGAAAACATAAATGGTGCCCATATTTTTTATTATTTTTTCTACCAAATGGCATACAGTAATAAAGCTTTCAGTAAGTAAATTTCGAAATTCGAAATCAAATATTTCGAAATTGTTTGCTGAACCCTAAAAACGGCGAAATTATTTTCGTTCAATAAATGGCACACCGCAAAAATGTTTTCAGTAAGTTCGAAATTCGAAGTCAAATATTTCGAATTTGTTGGCCAACTTGGAAAAAGGGAGAAGTTACTTTCTTCAATAAATGACATACAATGTTTTCAGTAAGTTGGAAGTTCAAAGTCAAATGTTTCGAATTAGTTGAGTAACTTCGGAGTAAACGGAGAAATTTCTTTTTAAATTAAATCTAAATCACTTAAAAAATGCGTTCGGTAAAATATCTAGGAAAAAATTTACTTTGTTACCGTATGGTATAAAAATCAATTTGTTCAAATAAGTCCATTAGAATCAAGATTTAGTCTCGACATAATAACATATCATATTTTGGTTGCTACAGCGAAATGCTTTCAGTTCCTCAGCTTCAGAGTTTTTGGTCGCTCAGAACGTTCTTCGAATTGAAATTCAAACAATGGACTAATAAGCAAGTTGCGCCATCTATACATTCCATATATTCTGTCAATAGGCAGTCTTATTTTCAATTGATTTTACGAAAAATGATCTTAATTTGTTCCAAAATGTATAACTATTGCAATAAGTA